TCTTTTTGGAAAGGAGTGTAAAAATGAATTAAAAAAAACAACAACTAATGAACAGGCCTACTGAAGGGGAGGAGAAGAAGGAGGAATCTACGTGACTGAGAGGAAAAAAGGAAGAGAAGAAATATATAAGCAGATAGAAAGAATTAATAAAGAAAACCCTAAGGGGAAAGGGATAACAAATAAAAAGAGAAAATCAGTGTGAGGGGAAGAGAACCAGTAAGAAAAGGGTCACCTTAAAAAAAGATTAAAGTAAATAATCAAAGGGAAAAGATACTGTGTTTAAAGAAAGAGGAAAAAATTACAATTTGAAAAAAAAACTTAATTTAGAGACAAATGATGGAAAATGTAAACCTAACTTTTTTAACTTCAAATAAGAATGAATTAAACACTCCAAGAAAATGAAAAAGAAAGACACTGGCTGAGAAAAGAAAATTCTATGATGTACTACTTACAGATAATGCTTGCCTTTTGGTTTTAGATAAATAATAGTTTTTAAGGAAAACTCCATTTATTCCTATGGTTTCTAGTATTTTTAATAAGAATGTGTCGTATTTTGTTGAAAGCTTTTCTGCATCTGCTAAAGCGATTAAAAGATTTTTCTTGTTTTTGTTATTGATAGTCTATCATACTTACAGTTTTTTTTCCTAATGGTGAACTAATCCTGTATTCCTGATATAAATTTAGTGTGATCATAGTGTATAATCTTTGTGATATACTGCTGTGGTCTCCTTACTAACATTTTATTTTAAAAATTTCCATCAATATTCATTAGAGAAATTGGTCTGTAGTTTTTATTTTCTCTTTGTTTTTACTCTCTCTGGTTTAGGTATCAAGACCATATTTGTGTTACAGAAAGAATTTGTTGGATCCCTTCTTTGCTTATTTTTTCAAATAACTTATGCAATATTAGAATAAATTGTTCTTTAAATATTTAGTAATATTCACTTTTAAGTCCATCTTGTCTTTTTTTTCTTCCCCTGGGAGTTCATTTATGACCTATTCAGTTTTTTTCTAAGATAGTTAAGTATTTTGTTCCCTGTTTTGTTCATCTAGCCAGTTTATATTTTTATAAATATTCATCCATCTCCTTTAGACTGTAACTTTTATTGGCATACAGTTAAGTGAGATAGCTCCTAATAATTGCTTTTATTTCTTCTTCATTGGTTGTGAATTTACCTTTTTTATTTTTTTATATTGATTCTTTGATTTTTCTTTAATTGATGGTTTATCTATTTTATTGCTTTTTAAAAGAACAGGTCCTACTTTTATTTATTAGTTTATTTTTAACCTTTCAATTTTGTTTATCTCTCCTTTTAGTTTCAGAATTTCTATTCTGGTATTTAACTGAGGGTTTTAAATTATTTTGTTTTTCTAGTTTTTTTTAGTTGCATGCTTAATTTATTGATCTGTTCTTTCTCTCTATTACTAATGAAAGAATTTAGAGATAAGTTTTCCCTAAGTACTGCTTTGACTGCATCACATAAATTTTTATATGTTGTCTCATTGTTATTATTATTTTAATGAAATATTGATTATTTCTATAATTTCTTCTTTGATCCACCCATTTTTAGGATTAAGTTATTTAATTTCCAATTAAATTTTAATCTTTATTTCAAAGGTCATTTATTGAATGCAATTTTTATAGTATTATGGTCGATGAAAGATACTTTTAATATGTCCACTTTTCTTCATGTTTGTGAGGTTTATTTCCTAACATGAATATGCCATGCATAGCTGAGAAATAGATATACTCTTTCTATTTGTATTTAATATACTTCACAGACCTATCATAGCTAGCTTTTGTAAAATTCTATTCGGGTCCTTAACTTCTTTCTTGTGAATTTTTTTGTTCACTTTATCTAGGTTTGAGAGGAATATATTGGACCCTCTGCTATTATAGTTTTACTCTCTATTTCTTCCTATAATTCATTTGACTTTTCCTTTGGTAATTTAAATGCCATACCATTTGGTGCACATATGTTTAGTACTGATAGTAATTCATTTTGAGGTGCTACATGTGCCATTTCCTTATATAAGAATGTAAACAGTTTACCCTTGTTTAATTCTTTTTGATTTCTCTTTCATGTTTATCTGTTTATGCTTCTCTTTATTCTTTGTTTTTATGTCAATTTTCTACTAAGCTCTGGTCTTTTCATCTAGAATACCTAAAGTCCTCTATTTCATTAAATGCCAATTTCTGCCTATGTAGCATTATATTCAGTTTTTTCTGCATCGATTGGTCTTGGTTGTAAGTCTAGATTCGTTGCCTTCCAGAATATCATATTTTAAGTCCTCCCTTCCTTTCTAGTGGTAGCTGCTAAATCATGATCATGTATATTATGACTGCCATTCCCTTGCTCAAATAAATACTTCATAAGGGTAAGAATGGTATCTTACCTAAAATGTATAAAACATCTACGTATAAAACAGTACCTTGGACAGTGAGTGCTCTGCACTCAACAGGCTGTTACTACATTTTTATTGATTGATTGAATGAATGAATGAATATTTAAAATGAGGGAAGGGATTAAGACAACTTCCTCTCACCCAAGAATTGCCTACAGCCTCAGAACCCCACTGACTACCATGTTCTCTTCACTCTCAACTGCATTGTGGAGTCATAGAACTTGACCCAAATGACTTGTCCTCATTCCATTGAACCCTAAAATTGATGCCCATGACATACACAATCATGGAACCACCATCTTATAGGTGCCTGGTCAGGCATGAAAGATGAAGAGCATGAAAGGATTTAAGGAGTAGACAGAGGAAAGAAGAAGGAGGAAAAGGAAGAAACAAATGAAGAAAGAAGAAGGAAAAAAATCAGGTTTGCAGGAGTTCTAGGTCATCATTGTTCCCCTATACCCATAGGGAGTTAGTCAGTCAGTAAACATTGACTTAGGAACAATATGTCTAACTCTCTCCAGCTAAAATGAAATAATAATATTGTGCTGCCTCATGTGAATGTCTGGGGGAATTTAAACGTGTGTTTTTACTTTTGAGACCTTGGATTGTGGAGTAGATTCTCTTTCTTTGCCCCAAAGTAATATTTCAAGCTTAATGCTTGAAGAAATAATAACTTATATTTGCTTGGTATTTTAAGGTTTATGAAGTACTTTCCGCAAAAACCATCCTGTATGATGGTAGTCTAAATATTATTATCCTGATTTTACAAATGAGGAAACTGAGGCTCAGAGAGGTGATCTGCCTTGCCCATGATCACAGTGCTAGTAAGTAAAATAAAATACATTTTCAAAGTGTTTTAACCTGAAGGATGGCAGCCATTTGGCACAGAAAGTTACCTGTGCTTCTGTTATGTTAATTTAGTAAAAGTGATACCAAAGATTCACTGGAGCTTCAGGTGATTGAATTAGGAAAGGATTTGTCTTCAGGAATGTATTTTCAAAGTGACCTCTAGAGGATGTTGTTCTAACTAAAAAAAAAAAAAAAAAACAAAAACCAAAAAACAAAAAAACCCATGCACTCAGGTGTATTGCTATGTCATTGTGCTAACCAGAAGATAGAACAAAAGCCAGAGATTTGTTGTTGTTGGCAGATACGTATAATAAAACAAGAATGTGAATAAAGATGGCATTGGGGGCAGGGAGGTGAGGCAATTGTTTGACCTGCTTCACATACACTGAGTTCTTGCTAAACTTTTTCCCCATGATAATCAAGGAGGGTGTTAGCAGGCAGCTGGACTTGGGACAGCTAGGTGGCATAGTGGATAGAGTGCTGGGTGTAGAGTTAGAAGACTCATCTTCCTGAGTTCAAATCTGGCCTCAGACACTTACTAGCTATATGATCTTGGGCAAGTCCCTTAATCCTGTTGGCCTCAGTTTCCTCATCTGTAAAATGAGCTGGAGAAGGAAATGGCAAACCACTCCAGTATCTTTGCCAAGTAAACCCCAGAATTATGAAGAGACACAACTAAGTAATAACAACAAAATTAATAGAGTGATTTTTGGTCCTCTAGAAGAACAAAAAACAACAACCCACCAACCAACCAACCAACCTGACTTGGTAGTCTTAGCCTCTACACAGATCCTGTGGGGACTTTTTGGGCATAGTACCCAAAATGGGTGTTGGGAGCACAGGACCTCTACTGGGGATCCAACAGAAGTTAAAAGGAATTTGCTTACATTACTTCATACAGTTTTTGGGGGGACCATAGGCTTCAAATTAGTATCAGAAATAGTCAAAAGAATGTAATGAATCTTAATATGAGGGTATTCCAGCTGTGTTTTGTTTATTGTGGCTAAATGTAGTACCTCATACCCTGAATCATAAACTAAAAGAGTTGTCAATCTACCTTGTTAGGGAGAGGCTTTTTAGTCACTGCCTCCTTTCAGAGAACTGATAGCACCCCCACACACACAGTGACCCTGAAGAGCAGAAACCCAAAATGTGGTAGTAAAGAGAAGTTTGGCAACCACAAGACCAGTGGAGAAGCTGAGAAGAGACAGCGTAATGTCTAGTAGAAAGTAGAAGTGTGATACCTGATGCAGAGACAAAATACCCTGTGATTACAACCTGCCAACCAGAGATGCATTGCGTCATTGGTGAATTGAATGGTGTCCCCCACCCCAAAGAATTCATGCACCTTCAAACCTTGAGCAGTAGAGTAAGACCAAACATGTTTTGTTTATTTGAATTCTCTGCTGATAATGCTAGCGATAATTAACCTCACAGATACCTTCCTAGTAATCTGGCTACTGATTCTTCCATTGGTTTCTATCTTCTGATAATCACCAATCCTGCTTTTTGACTCCCAGATGAGGTACAAACATGAGGTCCTATAGGTAAGCACACGTTACATGTGGAAAGTACCTGGCAAGTCAGTTAACTCTTCTGAGCCTCAGTTCAAATCTGTAAGTTTTTAGGGGGTAGGATTCCTCATAGGACAAGGCATCTTTACTTTTTACATCTTTACTTTTTGAGTGTTCTAGGTTAATTTATACATTTTCTTATGTTAATTTTACCTTTTTTTTCTCCAACAGAGAACAGTGTTAAGGAACATACTGTGAAGTACATGGAAATACTGGAAGATAAATTGCGCAGGTGAGGATAGTACACAGATAAAGTCCCGTTAATGAATTCAATCAATCAAACATTTCTTAAATGCCTACCATGTGTCACTGCACTAAGCACTGCAGACATAAAAAGAGGCAAAAGACAGTCCCTGACCTCAAGGAGCTCACAGTCTAATGGGGAAGACAACATGAAAACAAATATATACAAAGCAAGCTACATTCAGATAAATAGAAAATAATTAACAGAGAAAAGGCACTAGAATTAAGAGGGTCTGGGGAAGGCTTCCTGGGATTTTAGTCCGAATGTAAAGGAAGCCAGGGAGGTCAGCTGGTGGAGTGGAAGAGGAAGAGCATTCCAGGCATGGGGGACAGCCAAAGAGAATGTTTAGAGATGAGAGACAGAGTGTCTTCTTGGTAGAACTGTCAGGAGGCCAGTTGTAAGAAGATTGAAAAGGTAGGAGAGGGCTTCCCAAATAGTTTGCTTGTAGTAAAATTTAGTTAAAATTAATGCCACCCTCAAGATGCCAATCCTAGTTGTGGGGTGTCCTGAAAATGCAATAGAGCACAGTCACTTTCTGTAATAAGTAAACAAGCTAACAGATAGGGTTTGAACACAGGGGAGAAGTAGATATCATGTCGGCTCATTCCCCACCCTCTTTTCACTCCTTTTTTTTTTTTTGAGGCGGGGAACCAATAAATACATTCCAAAATTTTGAGACTAGGAAGAAATGCAGTGTGGATTTCACATTTCAGAATAAGAAAGATTATCTTGTTGATCTTGTTAAAAACTGAATTTGTATCTCATTCTGTTTTCCTTTTACTGTCATGGCTGAGGGGGTCCTGTGGATTTTAAACCAGTTCATGTATGTTTTAGAACAACGAAAAAAATGTACATCATAGGTCCTGTTTTGAATCCTAAATCAAAACCAACATGAAAATTCTTGGTTGATTTTTTTTTTGCCTGAAGTAGGAATGCAGAATTGAAAAACGCACATGATGTTATAGCATGTCAAGAAATTTTCAGTTCCTGAAGACATGTTCTTTAAAAAAAGCAGCCAATAAATCTCAGCTACTAGGATCTGCTCCTAATTAAGAAAGCCAGTTCTGAAACATAATAAAGACCTTCTTCTTAGGTAGTTATTTATTTTTATGGAGACAGTTTTGCTACTATTTTGGAAATTGTTAAATGACCCCCTAGTAGGTTCTTTCTTAAAGTATTGCCTACTAACTTAGACACTATGGCTAAAATGCCACCTTTCCCTTAAGAGATTGTGAGAGGGGCGATCATATTCCTGAGGTATACTTTGAAATCTCAATAAGGTCATATTTGTTTCTAACATTGTGCAAGCAACTTCTTTAAATCATTGACTGACCGTTTGCTTCCACGTGAGGAACTTTGAGTACCAGGAAGAAGGGAGGAACTAGCATCAATGTGACAATGAGGCAGTGAGGAGTATACGAGGAGTGTCTTCCACTTCTAGGACCTATGCTAGTGTCACGTGCCCTGGTTTGATGTTGACTCATCTCCTTCCCTACAGTTTGGGGATACTGAGTCAGTATTTTCCTGGTTATCTTCTTTAGGGCATTTTCCTGAAATCCTTTGTACCCTTCTGCAACCTTTTCAAAATTAGAGGAAAAAAATATATACCACACATATGCCATGATCACTTTTCATACTAGACATAGTAGTGTATCGGCTTTTCTTCCTTATTTCTAAAGTTAATCAAAACATGACAATATCTGACATCCAAACATATATGTGTTCATGCACATGAAAGGAAATGTGTGTCAACAAAATAGTACTATATTTAAGATATAGTAGCTGTATCTGATAGGTACCTGATAGCATATACTGCATTCCATATTCATAGACCCACATAACCTACTGAGAAAATGGAGATATATTGTTTCATCTTGTCAGTTTTTGGAAGATCTCTAGTTGACTGCCCATGTGTAATTTTCTTTCACTATTTTTTCTTTACCATTTTCACCAATTTCACCAATTTTCATCCATCAATCAAGGGCAGAAATAGCATATTTATCAAATTTGGGAGGTATAACTAAATGTTGCATAGGGTCTTAAGGTTAGTCAAGTATTCAGAATCAGGAAGATTTGAGTTCAAATCCAGCTATATGACCCTGGGCAAGTCATTTAACCTCTGTTTGCCTTAGTGTCTTCATCTGTTGAATGGAAATAATAGTTAAATCTACCACCTTGGGTAGATTGCTGGATCTGAGATAATAATTGTAAAGCATTTAGTATAGTGCCTAGCACATAGTAAATACTCTATATGTGTTAGCTGTTATTATCTTGATAAACTAGAATGTGAGGCTGAATCCAATAAAATGGTTTTCAATAGGAACAAAGGTAAAGTCTTACATTTCAATTACAACAAATTTCATAAGTACACAGTGGGGGAACAATGGCTAGATAGTAACCTACCTGAAAAAGTTTGGGGAATTTAATGGACTGCAAATTCAATATGAGTCAACTATTTAACATGGCAGCCAGACAGCTCATGCATTAAGAATTATAATGTCCAGGATGACAAAGAATAGTTCTAGGGCACTGTTCTGATCTGACTGTGCCTGAAGTATTTTTTTGAATTGTAGGTGTCTCATTTTAGGAAGACAGTTGATAAAATGGAAAGTTTGTGGAGGAAAGTGACCAGAGTAGAGATCCATTGAAGGAATTAGAGATGTTTAGCTTGAGGAGAAGATTTAGGAGAGTGAAGGATTTGACAGCCTTGTCCAAGTGTTTTAAGGGTTGTCATGTGGAAGGCTTGTTCAACCTAGTTCTAGAGGACAGAACTAAGAGAAAAGGATATAAGCAGCAAAGAAGTGGATTTGGGGTTTAATGTCAAAAAAAATTTTTTTTCCTAATGATTTGAGCTATCCAAAAGCTGAATGGGCTTCCTCAGTAGGTTTTGTACATCCCCTGTTAAAAGGCAGATAAACCAGAGGACATAAAGATGCATTTTTTTTTCATCTTAAAAACTAGATGGTTGAAAAATTCATGAGTAAATGGAATAAAACTCAGTCTACCCCTCTTTGAGGGCTATTAGGTTTGAAAATCACAAGCACAGAGTACTTGTGAACTGAATGGACTGTTTTTTTCCCCTAGGGTTCAATAAAAGAACCTCTAGTGGGCTAATGCCTAGGAGTTAGAGTTAGAATTAATCATTTGCTGTTTTGAAAACAAACAAAACAACTTTATGAGGTGGCATTAAGGTTTTTGTCCCTACTTTGAAGTGCTTAAAGCTAAGAAAAGCTAGGTGTCCAGGATGGCAGGATAAAATCAAGGTCTGCTTGTAGTCCTTACTGAATACTTTATAGGAATGGGATTTTATGGATAGACAGACTGATTGATATGTAGATTGATCAATAGACTGATAAAACATTTATTAAGCACTTAGTATGTTCAAGGCACTGTTTTAATCATTAGAACACAAGTACAAGAAAAAAGACAGTATCTACCCTGAAGATTAGATTTTAAAGAAGGAAGAGCACACATAAAAGGGAACTGAAAGAATGGAAGAACCTGGGGGTGGGGGGAAGAGAGTCAAGTCGGAGGAGTAGGATTCTGAGCCACGTATGACTAATGTGTCTATTTGCTGAAATGGAGGTCCCAATATCCCATGTCTCATCAGGTGGAATTTTCCTAATGGTAAATGAAGGGCACAGTTGGCATTTATTTCACGGACATCAATTATACAACCAGCCAAACTGCATATTTCAGGCCCAAAGATGGGCCCCTAGAATTTATTCACAATGGGATTTGCTTTGGGGTATCAGGAGTCTTGGGAATGTTGCCTAAATGTGCCTCTCCTTTTCTCTAATTTAATATCTGGGTTTTTACCTAAAGGAGAGGTCTCATTTGTGTTTGTTATCATTTCCATATGCTCCAGGCTGCCTGTTCTTTATCAAGCCTGCAGGAAAAAAAAGAAGTTAGCAGAAGAGAGCAGCTGGAAGGCCTAGTTCTGTGCAGCCTTCCAGAGCCAGTGACTAACTAAACTTTGCCCTGTGAAACAGAGAGAGTGGCCTGCCAAGGAGGCAGAAGCCGAGCCTGCATGAAGTAACTGAGTACCCTGTCGTCTGTTGTCCTTGCTCTCCAGTCTTAATGGTGTGCAACAGAGCCAGGAAAATGAAAACTTTCTGCTTTGACAGGGGAGGCCTGGGCCCTTCCTTTTCTTTTAGGCTTAAAGTTGCCAAAGCTTTAAATTTAAATCTCTTGGCCCTCATAATCAAACCTGGTTTTATTCTCCATTAAATCTACAGTTCAAAGAGACATCATTTCTTAGGTTCATAGATGGGTTGCATTTTCCTATAGATTTTATTTCTAACCTCCCAAAAGTTTCTGGAAGGAAATCAATTACTGTCAAGTAGTAGATTGCAGGGCTTCAGGCATGGGTGGGCTACGTCTCTCCCACCCCAGGCAGATGTGTTACATACATATATACATACATATGCATGTACGTACATACATTTCCTTTAGCCCCTCTTTCTTTCAATTTTCCAACAGTATTTCCATTTGTTTTCTGAGATCACAGACTATCTAAGAAATCCACACCTGGATTTAATCTGTATTATCACGAAACTAGTAAATACCAGATCAGAGGTACTTTTTAGTGTCATAAAGAAATAATGAAGATTTGTAAAATCTTACTAGAAATTTACTTGAAATTTTAGAAACTAATTTTTATTTTATGTTGTTAATGCAGATATAAGACAGGGAGAGGGGTCACTGAGGTTTCTTGCTGAGCTTTTTTCCTTCTCAGAAGTGGCAGCTATGGCTAACTCAAATACCCCGAACTACCTTCTACCTACTTGAACAGGTAGTTGCAATAGGCATAGCCATACATGTACAAATGATATTGCCCAAACAGGGAGAGGATAGTATATGGATTCACATACACCCCTCCACCTCATGATGTGCTGTCTTCACCTTAAGTTTTAAAGAAGCAACCCCCAAAAGTGCTATGAGAAACTGAAGAGAATGGGGAAATTTTTAGCTGGAAGGTGAGAGGA